TCGTATGAAAGTGCATGATGAAGATATTCGTTGGTTGATCTCCCATGAAGACGACAGCCGATTCCAACGTGCTAGCACAGTCTATGCGATGCCCCTCCTTGTTTCTGGTAAAAACGCTATGAACCTTCACTCATCATTCATAATATTCTCTTCATCATGAATTTTCATACGAAAGGTAAGTCTCCACGGCAATTTTATTTTAAGGGAGTCATAGGAAACTGCCTATTTTTTATTTTAGCATCAGAGCAAATATTAATAATGTGAAATGTTCGTGGCCTTTAAAAAATCTCTTGATTATGATTTTGCCCATTATAACCTTCCAGATTTATGCCTCGCTGAAATAACATAGACTATTAGGAAAGCTAACCATCTACACGGATTAGCTTTCCGCAACCCTTTCGATTTCTTATAAAATCCTTATCCAGTAAACATTTCTTGTGATAAAGTACATTTATCTACATCCCTCTTCAAACTGAGCTTGCTCTAAATTCACTCATATATCAGTTTATTTACTTATTTATTGACTTACCTCTCTCCACAATTATCTATACCTTCGGGCACATTCCCTTCAGATCTTTCTCTTTTCACCAGCCACGCCTACGTCTCTCGAGTTCAGGCCGAACTCTGCCATTTTCTGATGCGCCGCTCTCGTTATTATCAGCTTTCAAGGGAGATTAACAAAGCCCGAGCAGATAAAACTTCACCAGTACACACCAATAACAATATTGATGCAACTACTTGCGGCATACCAGGCGAATCTCGCTCTCCTCAAAACGTCACATCCGATCGATTTGGTCAGATTCTCCTCCGGCTTGCCGAAGTCAAGTATTTGGCTTTTCAGTTGGAGAGTTTTCTACTTTCACGCTTTTGGGCTGGCGGAATCCCGAAAGAGAGTCTACTAACTGAGATGCTGCTTACCAAACGCAGTCGGCCATCTGGTCACCCCTCTACTGGTACCCTTCTGCCAAGACCATTTGAGTCCATCGTTCCCATTACGGCCTCAACTTCTTGCCAACCTTCAAATACATCCTCTGTTAATTTCCGATCGTCAGGCTCTTACAGAATTACTAGCCATGGCACTTGCTTTGAAGCACTAGATGATATTACTAGAAGTATTAATCAAGGAGGCGATCTATTTGAACCGAAACTTGAGCCTGTTAACCCTCTATCTAGGCAATCGCACAAAACACATTCCTTGCAGGCACCGCCTTCGACAGGCGATTGCGATTATGTTCATAGTCCTGGTTCGATCACTAGTCTACACCAATCTCCAATACCAACCTCTCAAATGAAATCTCATCAGCACAATTGCCAGTCGCCCATTTCTGGATTCGGCGCAGGTGAATTTTGGGCTACTCCGCCTACGGTTTATTACGATACAACGGCCTTCCTAGAACATAACGAGCTGCTTAATTCTGGGAAAGATGAGAATGAAGAGCAACCGGAAGGTGGCACTGATAATTGTGTGGACCAAAGAGATCAAGCGTCTCGATCAACCACCTCCGATCTATCAACCAATCTCGAGTCGTCGCAAATTCAGGTGCCTCCGGGATCCGTCCAAACGGCTTCGATTGGTTTTGATTTGTTCGCCAAAGTGCATGCTGAGCAGAGACAAATGCAGCGAATATCTGATATAAAAGACCAGACGTCAAAATCGAAAGCTCCAAATACTCAGACGCGGCCACACCAAATAAATTTGGCTGATTTTGAAGCAGGCTCAACACACGTTTGGAGACCGGCTCCAATCTGTATAGTAGATGAGAATGAAGGGCTGGTGGTGCAGGCAATTGATGGAAATGAGCAGGGGCAAGGGAGACAGGAAAATAGTTCTCCTTTACTTACCCACGGCCTGGTCCTGAAAACGGAGCCACATGAGGAGCTGACAAGTTCAGGAACTAAAACTCATTGGTCTGCCGATAACCACTGCAGTTCTGAGTTCAGCCGACTCGTCGAATTAGAGGTTGGTGCAGAGTCGTCCAACGTTTCGACTGACCTATTATTGTCGGAGGTTTCAGCTAGTTCACCGGCTGTGGCTGTAGTGAATCATGCGACAAACAACTCAGTTGTTGCTTATCATCTTGCTTCTCCTGTTGCTTTTCGTCCACAATATTCAATCCAACTGCCAACTGACCAGTCAGCTTCGTTTACAATCAAACAAGAAGACTGACATGTATGTTGAAGCTTGAAGGGCATGCGCGTATGTAAATAAATAGCTCTTTCACATATGCGCATATTCTTTAGGCATAAACTCTTTGGAGCCAAATGCATTTTCATAATTTTTAAATTCCTTTTTAGTAACAGGTTTACTTATTCATTTTTGTTGTTAGGTATCACTAAATTTCTTTCCACTCCTAATTATTCGGTAATTTATTCTGCAATCAATCATTTGGAATAGTAACCAACTTTTTCTCTCCTTTACACTCGAAATCGAGGGAAATTGCACGCTTTTGATGACAGCTTCGGCAATTCATATCCAGAATAGACTAAATCTGATCTGTATATTGCAATCTATGACGCTGGTTCCTTATGATTTCATTCCAAGCATTCGTTTACCATTTTAAAGAATTCATCATATGATTACTCTTTTAAGAGTCGTCGTTACTGCTAAAGGCTTAACAACTTATACCAATTTATTAGAACTAGTTGGCATTCATAAGAACTTAAAACAAGTTATTTACTAGCTACAATTTTTGACGAGCTGCAGGAAGGGTCGCCTCAACTTTGTCTAGTGGTTATATGATTGATTCACATCTTAGTCACCCTAAGTCGCTTAAGGCCACTTAAGGAGTGATAGTTTACTTATCTCAGTAGGCCTCGCGATGCCACCAAATTTCACCTAACCTTGTCTCTCATAGGCGAGATCTTCCAGGAGGAACTGTGGTCTCGTTTTATCACCCCCAACGAGGTTTAATTCCAGGTCCCGGGTATCGTGGTAACATTACCACTCCACTATACAGCCATGGGTGCCAATGAGTCACGGGGTAGATGTGACATTTTAGGCGAGATAGACTCTACATAGTTCAACGGTATAGTCATAACGTCGATTAAATAAGCACGTATTTACCAATTCAATCGGCAACGTTGTCTACTGTTACTCTTCAAACCTACTTATATCGAAACTCTGGCTGATAACTTTACTATTCGGCACCTTAGTAGAATCAGTTTTGATGATTTCTCATTCTAAATTAACTAGGTTCACAATTGAATTAGAGAAGACAATTTGATCATTTTTCTGGCGCTGTTAGATGGTGACCTTTAAGGTTTGTTTTTGCTTATTAGACCTTGATTGTCTCCCAAAATTCTCGGTTATTTCTGTAACGATTAGTGATAAGTTGATCATTGTAGGGACTTTCATTTCTTATGAAAGTGCATAATAAAGAGATTCACAGGTCGATCCTGTCAGAAGACGATTGATGGTTCATGTTCTGCAGTGGTTTGGTGTTTAATACAGTGTTAAGCTTGACGCAGTGCACTAAACATCCTTTCTCGTTCTTGGGGCAAGCAGGCTCAGCTTGAGTTCATCATATGACGAACATCATCATATATGGATCTCATTCTTGCAAAATTCTCAAGTCAACAAGACCAACCATCTTTATCCCACACAAACACATATTTAAATATAGACAGACAGAATGGTTTGTGTGATTCTCTTATGCTCGAATGTGTCTGTACGTGAATTAGTGTGTTGACGTCTGTACGCAATATCGACCATAACTCAATATAGTTACAAAAAACTCAACTCTGGGTCACCAAGGTTTAATGACAGATTGTATAAGCACATAAGTAAGTCTGGTTGAATTGAATTAATTTAATAGAAGGTATGAAGACCAAGATGGTGTGTCCTTTTGTGTGTTCGCAGTCTCCTTTTGTTGTATAGAAGTTGTTTGACCTTGTTTTCGCAACTTGGTCATATTGGTAGGAAGACTTAGAGGAAAGCACCTTGTCCGGAGTCCATTGTATGCATGATAATTTCCAGAGTCGGACCGTGGACGTAGTACATTCCCAGACGTTTCGCCGGCATCATCAGTGAGTCCTGTTATTCTTAGCACCACACTACAATTTATCAAAGATACAGATGAAGCTGATTTTTTGACCAATTGTCTGCTAAACAATCGTGGTATCTCTCCTTTGGACTTGATATAATCACCAATCCTATATCCTTGTACACGCCTTTAATATCACTATTTTTACTTGCTTATTTAGATGTGATGTGGTGTGCACTTTTGAACAGATTACATGAATTAATTTAAGCCATTACGGTGTGTAAGTCATGTTAAAAAGCACTCTTTCATAACTCGTTAGTATGAGATCATTAAGCTTTAATAGAACGAGATGACAAGATTGCCTAATCTCGTACTAATGTTTTGGTCGATGAGCTTGACAGGAATTTAGCTATACTTATTACTTTTTACTTAACCTTCTATTCTATTTACATTGTGAATTTGCTATTTTGTTCACTTTCGATGATTGGAAGTCGGAAACTATCTGGTCCTCTCTCACCATGCTGCCGAGTGACAAAATAGCCAGCTATGTTGGTGAAATCTGTGGACCTATTCCCTTAAGATTAGTGGAGCACAAAGTTACCTATAAAGGCAAATGGGTCAAATCTTCATAAATGGCTGAATACATGGCGGAGACTTGGAATGAGACGCAAATGTTTGTTCAGCCTGTTTTAACCCAAGACGATGGATAACCTCCCGCGGACTCTGCCAAATCTAACGTCGTATTATAGCCAAAAGGTTGCAGAACAACGGAAATCAGCTGTTGTCTTCTGATAAATTCGGCCTACCAATTTCTTCACCATGCACTTTCATACGGAATAAAAGTTTCCACAACAATGTTTTTCTAAGAAATTAATTGAAATCCATTTTTGATTCAGATATATAAGTAAGAAAACTTTTACTCACTCTGTTTTAGCTTGGAGTTTTTATTAGAATTAAGATGAATATTTTAGTCGAGGCAGTTTGTGGGTTTCTTGATTACTGCCTTAACCAAAAATTCTTTGTAAAATCAGGTTCTAACAAATGAATACACCATCGTCTCGAACGTTCTAACGCAAAATATCGGTCAGCTCAACATCATTTTCTTTTCATCTTTTGCTAAAATGTGTTGCTACAAGCTGTAATTTGCCAACAAAAGGGTGAAGTGAAAGCTTGTTTCTTGATCGCCTATATT